AGGCTTCTTTTTCTTGGGCATCTACAGCTTTTACTTCTCTGGGTCCTTTCTAGCAACAGTGACTCTCAGGACCACTCCTTGTGGCTTCTTCTGAGTTGGGTAAAAGGAGCCAACAGCAGTGTGGGTATTCCCACTGAACAGGAGCACCTCTCGGGCTGCAACAGTGACCAGGACGTGCCAAGTCTCTCCTTTGGCACAATGGTGGGAAGGTCTCCCTGCCACTTGGGCTCCATCAGGAGTGAGTTCTCCAACAGGAGGCATTTGCCCCTCCCATCCCTGGAAACTGAGAGGCCACCACAGAGAGAGAGAGGGGACCCAGAGTACTCAGTAGAGAGAGGCAGGCAGGGCCGCTGTATCTGGATAATGACAGAGGAACCTCTCTCTGGGTAATGGGTAGACTGAGTAGGCATCATATTTTCTAAAACCTTGGAAAAATCAGCCCTTCCTAGTGATACAGAGACAGTGATTTCACTCAGTAGAACTTTAAGCAGGTATAAAAGAAAACACAGGAATGTAGGGATCTGAGAGATCATGCAAGATCTGATGCCCAAAAGGTAGTGTGGGGTGTGGAGCAGACAGCGGGCAGGAGCTCTTTCAATGCATCTATCTCAGTTGTAACTAGGTCATTAACTGTGGGCTTGATTTTTAAATATATGATCCTTCTACCAGAATGTAAGCCCTTAGAAGGAACAGGCTTGAGTGCTTTGTTTCCTTTCTCCCAGCTTTGCACACTGTAGCTACTTCCTAAATACTTGGTAGAAGAAGGAAGGAGTGAAGTTGCAGGTTAAGATGGAAGAACCGACATTGGATGCCACCACCCGTCCTCTCAACTTGGTCGTAAAGGATTTGGATCTTGATAATTGTACAGTGAACTATAGAGATTTCTCATTTATAAACTCCTGGTTCTTCTGGTTTCCAGGTGTGCTGGCTGCCTGTCACTCTGGCATCCGACTCTGTGTCACCATGGATGCCACAGCCTGTAATGGATCAAGAGACTCTCCACCCACCTTCTACCTGGTGGGCATCCCCTCTCTACAGGAGTCCCTCTTCCTCCCAGTCTTCTTCATCTTCCTGTTCTTCTATCTGCTCATCCTGGTGGGCAATGCCCTGATCCTGGTGGCTGTGGTGGCAGAGCCCAGCTTCCACAAGCCCATGTACTTCTTCCTGATTAACCTCTCCACCCTAGACATACTTTTCACCACAACCACCATTCCCAAGATGCTGTCGCTACTCCTACTCGAGGACTGCTTCCTCAGCTTCCCTGCCTGCTTCCTGCAGATGTACCTCTTCCACAGCTTCTCCTGCTCGGAAGCCTTCATCCTGGTGGTCATGGCCTACGACCGCTATGTGGCCATCTGCCGCCCACTGC